GAAACACCCTAGAACACGTATTCGGGTTCATTGACGTCACCGAAGATGATTTGTTTGGCTTTACAATTGATGGTCACTCGATGTTTAGACAACCAATCCATGCCAAGGATKATATCAAAGTGATCCATTTTCATCGGTAGTAAAGTAACTTCCCGAATTCGATCGCCAATAAATAACGGACAGTTTGGGAATTGCCCAAATATACATACTCAACTACCCATGGGAGTAGTAATATGTAATGAAAATTCAGTAGATTGTTCATATGATTTAAGATTTTCTTCGAAGTTTTCAGAAACAATCGATTGTGTAGCACCTGTATCAAATAAAACATATGCATCTCTACCATCAATAGAAAGGGTACCAGAAACCATACCCGCAGTAGATTTGTCAGCAAATAGTGTAAACACTCGACCACCAGCAGTAGATTGCTTCTCTTTATCTTTAGAATTATCTTTCGGCCCTTGTTTACAATCACGAGCTATATGACCTCGTTGACCACAATTATATCAAGCGCCGATCATTCGAATACATGGCCAGGACGATGTCTAAAACCACAATCTTTGCACCGTAACAGAGAATTTGTATTCGAAAAATCATTACTAGAAGTTCCTTGAAATGCAATTGGAGGTCTATAATGGGGTTGTTTCCACATACCTGTCCGATTGGTTCTTCGCCAGGTAGAATTCCCTTGAAACACATCTCTGTTTCCTTTCGTACCACTATCACCTTAGGAAAGTATAGAGTCTAAGATAATCCTATCTTAGTTCTACACATTTCTCACATATCAAACCTAAATTGTACTACAAGATCATAACCTGGCTCTGATACCACAACTTGTAACACCCCCGTCCCGCGTGGTCAAAGACGGAAGATGCCACAATTGGAATAAAACAAACAACGTGCTATATAAACCAGAGCGGCTAATAAAATTTATCAAAAGATAATTACATAACCACAGACGGAGATAAGGTGTCTCAAAATACGGTCCCAAATTATCAATATGTCTACATTAGTCATCAAAAGTTTAAACAAAAGTATGACTTAATGGGTTATCTTCAATGTTGTCATCTCCGTAGCTCTCATCCCAAAATCCCTGCTAAGTCATGTACATGCCGAGGACAAGAAAATCTCGGCTGAGCTTAATGCTCAGTGAACGGATAATAATATAACTAAACAATGAATATGAGATAACAAATTCAAAAACAATTTTAAACGTCAAGTGATAATCCAAAAGAAAGTCAAAATTCCCCAAAAGCATGTCAAGAGTCCGAAGACCAAACCACATAACGAGGACGCATTGTTCCCAAAGGATGATCAGTCCATTCAGGCACAAGTGAGGAAAGGGGTGTGAGCACAACACAGCAATCCTCTCCATGAATTTAACCACGACCATAATTCAATATCCGATAACGGTTCCTAGGATCGATCCATACGCCCTCTATTCGACTGGTACATAATCAAGTCCACTTTTAAGGACTATAAAAATAAGGACGCCATGATCGTTTCAGTCACCATGGAAACATCTCAATACCGGTGCTCCAGTTATTGAGTCTATAGTAAAATGTTTCACAAATGATACAATAAAACAAGTCAAGTGATCAAAATGATCCATATTCCGAATAAGAATATAAGTCGTAGTTCAAAAGGAAATAAAGTTCAATAATCATAACATATGATAAGCATAAAGGGAATTCAAAACAAATTATTCGGAATTTATCAYAGATTATCTGGATTAGGAAGCCTTACGCAAATGGCTATCCCCGTGTCAAGTGAGATATGAAATCCGTACCATAACCGAATTTGACAATTAACGCACGATCAAACGGAARTTCATGATCAAGTTTGATTTACCCGCGTGCCTAACGAATGCATAAACGGTTACTATTTATAAAGCATAGAAACCATAATATAACTATTCTAATAAAATTACTTACGTCTTAATCTACTTAAATAACGTAGACTTCAAGAAGGACAGCCGTATATGAATTGAAAACTCAAACGTAAAACTTAGCATTATTCTCTTTCGATCCAACCGTTTCCGACCCTCTTATTTCTAAACATTTTTATCTTATTTAGAGACCAATCCAGATTATATTTTCTAAATGAAAGTTGTAGATTGGTATCATACGAGTCTAATGCTTTTGAAATCATCTCATTTGGATCATCCATCTATTTTATATGAATTTTACAAAACTRTAAATTAATACCGAATACAGTGTAAACAGCCYCAAAAACACACTRTTTCGAGCCACCTARAGTCATAAYYGGATTTTCGACTCTTCATAAAAGTTGTAGTATGCAGTAAGATCTTTCTRAYTGMAAAATACGAGCTTATTCCGACTTACGGTTTGTGAGTTATACACTGCCAAAGTACAKGGGTTGCATTGTCGGTAAAATTCGATTCCRTAATTCCCGACTAACTTTTATGATTCAACTTTCATGATTCGCTACATTTACAT